AAGACTAGGTTTGAAGATAATTGTACTTACTCTCAGGTTTTTTTCCTCCAAGTGGGGGTTGCAAAGCCTCAAAGGCAACGTCAAGATGGGAAGAGCCTTTTGCAGTGAAGCATGCTGACCCGCTGCATGGCACCCTTTATCCAGCCAGGACGGCTTCTCAAGCCCCATTCTAGATCCCGTGGTCCCTTCAGACCCTCCCAGAGTAGTTTGTTTGTACCAAAATGAGCACTCGGGTCTGTTTGGGCCACATCCAGGCTGCAAGCAGAAATGAGCGCAGGCCTGTGTGCTGGGCAGATAAAGGGAAGGACAAGGGTGATGCTTGGGAGGGGAGTAGCAAGATTAGGGCTGAGGTCAGGAGCTATGAGTTGGGATTTTGTGTGTAGGACTGTTTTGCCCTTTTTTTTTTTTAACTGTCTTTTTCTGTTCAGCTGCATGTTGTGATCAGGAGTCAACATGAACTATGATGTGTCCGTTTCCCTAGTGTGCATTTACCCCTGTTGAGAGAGTTAAAGGAGGTGCCTTTTCTGGATGCGGATACCTCCTGTAAATGCAGTGCTGGGGAGCCCACAGTGGCCTGTATTGACATCAACAGTTGATGTCTCCTCTATTTGCTGTCAGTTGCATACAGTGTTCGTACATCCACTGTGTTTAAGTTGCCTGTTTTCAGGAGCCCTGAGTTAGCGGGCTTGGTTCTGTCTCCAGTTGCTTTGCTATTCATTAATCCAAGATGTTGGGATTACTTAAATGTGATTTAAATGTATCCCAAAGCATACTGGTACTTGTTTTAGTTTTGTGCTTTCAGTTTGTTTTGTTGTTTGGGAAAAAAAAGTTCAAAGTTGGTCTAACAGACAAAACACACTACCATTTAAGTTATGTAGCTTTCAGGTTCACGTTTTGATAAAATGTTTGGTATTTATGTTACTAATTTACTAAAAGTATTCTGAGTTTTTGACAAATTCCATCAAAGTGAAGATTATATTGATGGGCTTATCAAATAGTGAAACTAGTTATTTTAAATTTTCTCGACAATTTTGCATGTCAATGTCTACATATGCCTCTTTTAAAATCTACTAGCTTGGGCATAAAGCTTTGGTATCTGCCCCTCTTTTACTACAGTTAGATATGAAATACATTTTCCTCATCTGGGATCGTTGTTTGGCTGTTTTCGTGGAGAAGGGGAGAAATTAGCCTTGAAATTTAACAACATTAAGCCAGTGCCTGTTTACACTGTCCTTCTAAAACATAAAGATTCATTTATGGATGAGATTCTTTGATGGAGTTCATTTTTATGTTTTACCTAAAAGTCAGGTGATTTTGGTATCCTCCTAAGGCATCAGGTCAGTAATTTTCAGTCCCAGTCTCCAAGAGAGCCGTCCAGCACTGCTGGAGCTGCTCATGTCAAACTGTGGTGGGTTGACCCTGGCTGGAGGCCAGGTGCCCACCAAAGCTGCTCTGTCACTCCCCTCCTCAGCTGGACAGGGGAGAGAAAATGTAATAAAGGGCTCGTGGGTCAAGATAAGGACAGGGAGTGATCACTCAACCAATTACTGTGACGGGCAAAATAGGGGAAATTAACTTAATTTATTGCCAATCGAACGAGAATAGGGTAATGAGAAATAAAACCAAATCTTAAAACACCTTCCCCCCACCCCTCCCTTCTTCCCAGGCACAGCTTCACTCCCAAACTCTCTACCTACCTGCCCCGAGCAGAGCAGGGGGACAGGGAATGGGGGTTACAGTCAATTCATCACATGTTGTCTCTGTCGCTTCATCCTCTTCAGGGGCAGGACTCCTCACACTCTTCCCCTGCTCCAGCATGGAGTCCCTCCCATGGGAGACAGTCCGTCACAAACTTCTCCAACGTGGGTCCTTCCCACGGGCTGCAGTTCTTCACAAACTGCTCCAGCATGGGTCCTTTCCACGGTGTGCAGTCCTTCAGGAGGACACTGCTCCAGCGTGGGTCTCCTGCGGGGACACAAGTCCTGCCAGCAAGCCTGCTCCAGTGTGGGATCCTCTGTCCATGGATCTGCAGGTCCTGCCAGGAGCCTGCTGCAGCGCAGGCTTCCCACGGGGTCACAGTTTCCTTCGGGCATCCACCTGCTCCGGCATGGGTCCTCCATGGGCTGCAGGTGGAGATCTGCTCCACTGTGGACCTCCCTGGACTGCAGGGGGACAGCCTGCCTCACCATGGTCTTCCCCACGGGCTGCAGGGGAATCTCTGCTCCAGCACCTGGAGCACCTCCTCCCCCTCCTTCTTCACTGACCTTGGTGTCCACAGGGTTGTTTCTCTTACATGTTGTCACTCTTCTCTCCAGCTGCAGTTTCTGTGACCCAGCAACTTTTTTTCCCATCTTAAATATGTTATCCCAGAGGCGCTACCACCATTGCTGATGAGCTCGGCCTTGGCCAGCGGTGAGTCCATCTTGGAACCGGCTGGCATTGGCTCTGTCGGACATGGGGGAAGCTTCTAGCAGCTTCTCACAGAAGCCACTCCTGTAGCCCCCCACTACCAAAACCTTGCCACGCAAACCCGATACACAAACCCAACTTTGGTCCAGTACCTGCCTGTCCTGCTGTTGCTTTCAAAGAAGGAGTGACCTAAAAATGTCAGGGCATCAGTCGTGGGTTGTGCTCTTTTTCACTCTGAATTTGTCTTTGAGTGATTGTAGTGATTCAGAGGAATGGCTGAAGCTGTGAAGAGTCCTCCTGTTAGAGTCAGAAGAGCAGCCTCTCAGGACCTAGTCCTTAGCCATGCCTGCCCTTATATTCATAGTCACAGCTTTCCAAAAGGCAGTCATCAACTTCTGCGAGTCCAACTGTATGACTCTGTTGGAGCAGCTTTTCTTGCATCTTTTTTTTTCAATTGAGTCATTCCCAGAATCATTTGGGAGCTGATTACTGAGTATGTCTACTTTTTTCCTGGGGCCCATCATCCAAAGGCTACCACTCTGGGAAAATCTCCTTTTATTCAAGCTTTTCTTGCCTGTTTTTATACTTCATCTGTCTCATGTTGACTTTCATACACATTGTGTTGGCTTGGACTTTCTAACCTTTGAAGTGTGAAGGAAGCTCTCAGTATTCATCTGGGAAGCATTAATTTTGCCATTTAAAACACTCCTGGATTACCATGATATTTTTAAAATTTAGAGGCCAAGTATAAATATATTTGCTGCACACTCATAATGTACTCAACCTTCTTTAAAGACCACATAGGCTTTATTAATAAAAGTAGTGACAGGCTTGCTATTAGAACCACCTCAGCTAGGAGACCTGCATCTGAGCTGTGGATTATCATGGGACTGTGCTGGGAGGACTTTGCACCATTGCTGCTCTTTTGCCAGTGCATGAGGCCCACTCACACCAGACACTGCAGATATCTGCTGCACTTTTTTTTGATAACTGATAATTTTTGTGTCTCCTGGGAAATAGAAAACTTAAAAGCAAATCAGGAAGTTCTGATTTGGTTTTGTTCAAATGTATACATATATGAGAGCTATGTCTTCTTCACAAGAGTTCAAGAGTGGAAGGAACATTACAGTATTAAGCAAGGAAAAAAGGTACAGTTTATTATTATTAATAAAAATAATTTTAAAAAAACCCTTAAAAATCAGGCCTTCACCATCAGTGTGAGAACTGTGTTTTACATACTCTGCATGACACAGACCAGTTGTTGATGTCAGTAGAGGATACAGTTGACTCTGCAGCATGGAATTACTGGGAGGCATTTGTATAAAGAGAAGGCATCTCATCAAAATCATCCTGAAGAGATGCATCTTTTTTGCAGATTTTGTTTTTCTCAGGTTTTTGTCTGAGGAGGAATATGATTGTAGGTAATGTAGGAATCAGCAACGCTGAATCAAATACACTGGTTTTCTAACCCAGTTTCTTTTCTCATCCACTGTCTGAATTATCAAGATACTTAGGAAGTATGTCTTGAACCTTACCCCGTGCAGATGTGTAATAACCACCTCTCTTGTTTTTAGCTCAGTTGTGTAAATGTTCCAGTTGTGTAAATGCTTTTTTGGTGTCAGTGCCAGTTTATGCAGTTCCCAGCTCTGGCTGTTTTCTTCCTGTGCTACCCTTCCAGCTGGCTGGTGTAGCTGTTTGGGGGGCTCTGGATGAACTGTCAGGAAGCTTATCTGAGTTAAAATTATCTTTTTTTGGATAGGATCCTTTGGAACTTGGGTGAGTTGTATGATCTGGTTCATGTGTAGTTTCACAACTGTAACTGAGCAACTGGAAGGAAGGTCCCAGAGTAGGAGTGAGGGAGAGGAGATGGGATCTACTTAAGCCATTAGTCTGCTGAAGGAATTGGACATGTAAACTGTGCCTTGAAAAATGGAGGTGATAGATCTGGGCGTCAGTCAGTGCTTGATTGTTTGATGGTATTAAGATAGGGGATATTTTGGTTTTCTTATATGCATTAATTTGACATTGTAGTCCCAAAGTGTGTAGAAAAAGAGATTTTATTTCATGGTAGGAATGTTGTGCTGATTAGATGGTACATTTTTGCAGGCATATTGTTATTTTGTATTTTAGTTATCATTTCAATCAGCTTTCCAGCTACCAATGTAAGATCTAATGGTCTAAAATGCTGTATCACGTCCAAAGAAACTTTTGTTCTCATCTTTATTTATAATGTGGGCACATCAGTTGATGTCCTCCAGCCCACTGAAAGAGTAGCTCCTGGGGAAGATACTCACCTTTTTCTTATATAAGGGAGTTTGTTTGAAAGTTAAGACCAAAGATGTAGTCATACTTTTGGTTATCTGCATCTATACAAAGATTAAATATAGGGACATCTGCATCTAAATTATTTATAAAGTGATCTTTTGACAGACTGACAATGTCTGTCTTTGCCTGGTGTTATGTGGAATATACTCTGTATTGTCTGTTCAATTTGGTTTGGTTTAGATATATGTGAGAATTTGTACTTGCTGGTTTGCTCTCTGTCTTTCTCTCTTTTATTTATATATGATGGACAGTACTGATTTCTAGTTATGCTGTGTCCATATTACATTAGCAGGTATATTGACTGTGTTATCTATTATTTTCAGGCACGTGGCCATGGAGGCTATGATTCTGATTTTAGTGATGAGGAGAGTGGAGAGAATTCTGTGCAAAAGACTAAAAGGTAACGTAGTACAGAATTAACACTTTGCATTATGTATTTAGTGCAAATGGCCTATTGCTGTGTGTAGAAGATTATGCTATGGTATGTAAAGTCTGGTGTTGAAATTGTTTTTTGAAAAATCAGTCTCTTTGGTTCCTGCATCTCCTCATGTCAAGCTTGCCAAAGCATGTTGTCTCCCAGGGGCAGCTGATTAAGATCCATTCTGCCATGTCCATCTGGTGTCTATATGCCCCTCAGTTCTTGGAGCAGAGTGTTTCATTTTTCCAGGCATTAGTATCAGCTGCTGGGGTTTGGCTGTGCTGTTCACTTCACTGTGATGCATCAGGACACATGGAACTGCTAAGAGAGCAAGGGGAAAAAGGCCAGGTGGCTGTAGGCTTTGTAGATATAAAACACCTGCTTGGAGGAAGTGAAGAACTGATGCTAGTTGTTTATTATTTAATTTGTGAAGTGACCTGGGAATTGGTGAATTGTGTTGTATTCAATCCTTGAAATGTGACTACACATCTTTTATTTGAGATCACCTTTGCCAATTCTTTCAGTGGTTCGCACAATTAGTGACCTTGAATTTTGTAGTCTGATCTCATATTACTAAGATATTTATTTATTTATATATTTATTTTGCTTTGGCACCATAGTCCTTTGACACTTTTTGCACTGTACTGAACATTTACCTACATAATGCATATATTTTTCTTACCTTTTCCTGTCTCTCCCTTGCACTATTATTGGACTTTATTTAAGAAGGCTTTCTGGAAACATTCCCAGGACTTGCATATTTTCCTTTGTAATAAAATTGAAAGAATGGGTTTTGTAGTGTCTGACTGCATTCTGGGGAAGAAATTTCGTGTTTTAATCATTGGAATAATAGCAGGCATTGTGCTGTTCCATTTATTTTATAAATATAGCTGTTCTCCATTAAAACAGTGACTGGTTTTGTTCAGTTTTCATTTTCTTTAAAAGGCCATTACACATTATACCATTCCACTTTCTAGGTGGTATATTAACTAACCATCAGGACCCTTTCAAAAATATCATCATTACCCTTGTTCTGGCACACTACTAATGATTCCCAGTAGAGCTTTTATACGGGTTTACTGTATATGTATATATCCTTCTCTTGCTCTATGATGATATTTATTTTCACTCTAAGGAAAGCAGTAGTCTTAAGTTTTCTCCATATTGCTGTTTTATGGAGTCTCCTTACGGGAATTTGGTGCCTACAGATCTTCTTGAGCAAATGATACCCTTAGTTTCTGGAGTCCTGTATTCCATAGCTTGAAATATAAATTCCCTGGCTTGCTTTCTACAGGTTTCTGACTCCCATTCTTTCTGCCAGCTGATAATTATGGAAAAATCTTTTTTTCACCTCTATTGAGGAATGAAACTAACTACATATACCTTTTACTAGCTACAGTGTGTCTTTATATTTAATTTTCTATTACTTTGTTGAATTCTGAAAGTATTTTTAGCTGCCCACTGTTATGTATGGTTCACAACACAGTACTTAAGTTTTAAATTAGTGATTCTTGTGATTACGCTATGAGATGCAGAGCCGTTTAATGAGGTGTTGAGACATTAGCATGAAAGGATGAGACAAGGTTACTAGCAGTCACTCCTATTCAGTGAACATACTGTCCTTCCTGTTCCTGCTTGGCTGTGTAGCTGAGATTTACAGAGGGCTTTAAATGTAGAGTGAAACTGGGGAATCTTCAGGGTTTTTTCATTGTGGTTCTATGGTGATAATATTGATAAAAATAAATATTACAGATTGCTGTTTTAAGCAATTTTCTTTAAATGCTGACTGTAAGCAAATGCCTTTCCAGCTTCGTTCTGCAAATCAAGTATAATGTCTAAGCTGGTGTTTGTTCTGAAGTTTGGTTTTATTCGTGTAGAAACTAGCAATATAACAGGTTTTTTTATTCAAGCTAGTGCAAAATTTGGCATATGGAAATTTTGTTGCTTATGTAAAGTTCTCAACTAACTTTTCTTCCTTTTTCCCCTCTACCTTTAGTAAAAAGGAAGATGTCCTTCTGATAAAGCCATTCCAAAAAGCAAAACAAGGCAGCGTGGTTCACAGACAATTCGCAGCTGAAGAATGGGATAGGTATCTTTTATGTATTGCTTTTGTGAGGCATTTTTCCCATAATGTAAGGATAGCTTTCACTCAAACATATTTGTTATTACAGGGAAGAAGCAAGAAAAAGAAGATTTCACTTGATAGCAATGGATGCCGTATCCTTCTATTTCATTTTTCTTCAAGTTTGAAGATGGTGCACAGGTTATCCATTATGGTGAAATACTGGGATTTCTCAGTTGTCACAGCAGTTGACAGTGCAGCACCAGATACTGAGTCGTTCTTCAGATTAGCTCCTTTTAGCTGATGAGATGTCTCTGAGAATGTCTCTACTCAGTCAAGGCATTTCCAGATTTTTCCTATATTCTCATTTGTCCTGTTTGGGATGAAATTATTACAAAGTGAATTTCATTTAGACTTGCATAAAGACACTTTGCTCTTTCAGTTGAGTTTATACAGAACATAATTCTGTATAAGGCTGCTATTATCTGTGGACAAATACATTTCTTCTGGAAATTAAGAATGCATTAGTTAATTCAAAAGTCTATTCAAAACAGCCTGATCTCCAAAAATATCTTCTACAGATGCTCTAATGTAAGCCTGTTTAATATCATGTGCAGGTTTATTTTAGTTTTTTTAATCTCTTAATCATATTTCATGCATAATTTGAAACTATTTTTATAACTACCACCTTATTTAGATTACAACCTTTCTCCTTTTATTTAGTTTTCACCTGGGGCAGTCCTTATATGTTTTGGCTGAGTGTATCTGAAGTATCATCAGTTCCCTGTTTGTTTAAATAGCTATTCTTCAGCAGTAACAGTTAATAAATAGGAAAGTAGAGACTAATTAAATATGGAAGGGCTTACTTAAATGTGGAGACTCCAGTAAACAGAAAGTAACTTCTCCTAACCTGCTTAGAATTTGGCCAGACACTACATAAACCATTGTATGCCTGCAAAGGAGACGTATCTTAATCAGTCGCACTGACATTGTAGACTGTCATTAGCCACAGAAAATCTCATGTATTCTGGAATGACTACAAAATTCATTGTGTAGAGACTTTTATGAGTTTCTGCTAATGTTTTTGAGCGATTCCTATTTAAAACATTTACTGTTACACAATTTTAACACCTAGTAACTGAAATGGCAGCACAAAATAGTATGTTGTGTTAAATGTGTTTGTACCAGTTAAACCTTCTGGACTTGCTTCCCTCTTCCTTCTGTTTGTGGTGGAAAGGAAAAAAAAAAGACTCAAACTGATGTTAAATTAACTTTTTGGAGGCCTTTGGAAAGTAAAATGTTTTCTCAATAAAATTCTAATGCATGTCAAAATAGTAGGTTCATACAAGTTATTCACACTGATACAGTAGTTGCCAGGATATGTAGCAGGAGATCCTGCTTCAGAAACACCATACTAGTTAATTGAAAATATTTTTAAGTAGCCATATAAAATGTTTTTATTTGTGAAGATGCTTATTTTCTGAATAAGTAATTACATATTTTTGCTCAAATTATGGTACAAAAGGTGTTTCAAATGATGTCTCTGAGGCTGAAGTGTTCAAAAAAACACATTACATATTTTCCCATGATTTTCATCTCCAAACTAAAGCAGGTAACTTTTATTTGTATGTTGGTGGTAAACTGTAATAAATTGTTCCATTTTAGCAGCCAGACTATTTTTATGATACAGAAATACAAGCCTGTTTTAAACCAAAACTGCAGTACTAAAAAGCTGTTGTCTAAATTACAGTTTAAATAATGAACCCAGTTTCTATGTATATGCATACAGAGCATCTTTGATAAAGGAAGACAATTTTATAAAGGTCTGGCAGCTGAATGAGGTTTTAAAGATGAAATTGCCTTGAATTCCTGTATTTGGAAAATAACTTTCATGAGAGGCTATTAAGTAAAAATTGCTAATTAATTCCTTTCTTTCTGGAAATTACTGGAATGTTTTTGAGAAAAAAGCCACTTCCTTCTGTTAAGTGTATAAGAAGTTTTTATTATTTTTTTAGCTTTAAACTGTGGTAAAATAAAAGAAGATAAGTCCTGAAACAATTCTTAATTGCTTTATTCAGTATGAAAGACATAAAAAGTTTGTGAATGACTACATTTTATACTACGGTGGCAAAATAGAGGATTTCCAACGTTCTGGGTAAGAATCATTAGCAATCTTTCCCCTCATGCCCCCAAAGCTCCACTGTTATAGAGAACTGTTAAAATATATATTATAGCTTTGGGGGGGAGAAGGGGATGTGGCTATGTATCAAATTACTAATTCTTTTGGTCACAGATAGTAACTACAGTTGTTGTAAATATCCAAACCACAGAATTGCCTTGTTTCATTTTTGCACCATTATTTTTATATAAAAACTTACCATGAGCTGAATTATTCTTGTTTTGTTATGTAAAAGGAAGGATGACAGGTGAGCATTAATTGAGGGTACATTGAGAAATATCTGGCAGTACCTTCAAAATAACAATCTGAAATACTTTTGAAATGTGCAGAATTACTATCCATTGTCCAGAATAATGATAACCTTCTTTAGAGCTGTCTATAACTGCCTTCTAACATTACTGTCTTCAATAAAAAGTATAAAAAGTATTTTCAGACAGGATCAAGTAATCACAGTTTCAGTGGCTGTTTTCCACTGTGAATTTTTCATTTGGGAAAAGGTATGCCAGGGAATACATTTTTTGATAGTTTCATTCCATACCAATATATTCCTTTATGTGGTGAGGTAGAGATCACAACTGTGAAATACTGATGTTTACCAAATTATTATTTGACTGACTTTTCTTTTTAATGTTACATTGTACTAAAAAAAATGTGTCCTTTTATAGAGCAAATGACAAGACGGATCTTGATGTTATTAGAGAAAACCATAGATTCCTCTGGAACGAAGATGATGAAGCAGACATGAATTGGTACCTGGAACTATTATAGAACATGTTTTAAGATCACTTGTACTAAATTTGTGGTGTCCCCTACTAATTAAGAATTACTTTGCATACTTGGTGATCATTCTTTGATATTTAATGTATTTAAAAATGAAAGACCTTTAGGAGGTCTTTCATATTGTGATATCGCCCAGTGGCAAAATGAATTGATGACAGAAAGAACTAAGAAATATTTGTGCATTCTCTGGGATCCAAACGACTGTTCTGAAAACTCTGAAGGAAGCCTAGTTTGAAAAAATATAGTTTAATTTGTGCTGTAGATATATTTTAGATGTATTTTTCCAGTTTTATGGGAATTACCCCTTAGCTCACTGAGTGTATTTCTGTTACGCTTCTAGCTCTGCTACTTGTGTTCTTTGGATGAAACAACATGTCTTTGTCTTGCTAATGTCATTACAAAGTAAAATGAATTGTATCATGTTCTATATTTAATAAAAAGTAATACCTTTTGTTACAGGGAGAAGAGGCTTGCAAAGAAGTATTATGATAAATTGTTCAAAGAATACTGTATAGCAGATCTCAGTAGATACAAAGAGAATAAGGTACGTTTCATTATTTTAAATCATCTTGGTTTTAAAGTATGTCCTTTTTTAAAAATTGCCTTATGATCGTGGATATGTTGTGAAACCAGAATGTTAGTACCCGTTCCCTCGAAAGAGAGTTGTGAGAATTTGTCAAGTTGTTTAATAAGCAGCAGCAGTTTGAATCCAAGCATTGTCGCTGCCCCAAAAATGTGCTTCTGTGGGAACAGGAGCATTTCTGTCAGATGGTGTTTTATGAAGAGGTACATTGTGTGTAAGAAAGGCAGAAAATGCGGAGAGGTTAAGGAGAGAAGGCTAGAGAGGTTTGCCTGGAGAGAAGCACTAGATGAAGCCTAAAAAAACCCTGGGAATGTTACTGTTACAAAAAAACAAAGAGTCTAAAAAGAGAGAGTTTTGTACTTGAGTGCTGGCAGAAACAATTTTGGAAAGGTCTGTTCTAAAGCAGCGTCTTTTGCTGGTTGTTCTTTTCTGTTTATGGAAGCAGGATTTGTATGTTCCTTGTAAGTAAATAGAATTTCTTAAGAGAGCCAGCCCAATTCCAGCACCAGTTTTTCTTCTTAACCAGAACAGCCTTTGTTGTTTCCAAGTTTTTAACTGACTGATTTCTTGGTCAGAAAGAATATGTGAATTTTCTATTGTGATTTTGCAAAGAGTGTTCGTGAGCTGAGATGCATCTTAGTGTTGTTAGCACATAGTAACAACACAGCCCTGCAAACAGGGTCTATATAAAGTTCTTTGAGACTATTTGTAGTATTGAAAATTACATTCACTGGTGAATGTTTGCAAGGACTGCGCCTAAACTCTAATATTAGGCAGAAAAGATGATAGCCTTCTAAAGAAAATTGGAACAGAAAAATGCAAAAATTAAATGAAAATTAAAAAAAGTAAAATGCTGAAGATGTCTTCCCTCCTTTTTTTGAGTAAATTTTATTTTATTTTCCTATAGCTGTGTCATATCCCTCAGTCTCTGCCCTACCCCCCCCAACTGATTTTCCCTTGAGCATGCTTACAGATTTTGTTTCTTTCACTCCTGTGCCAAGTTTCCATATGTTTGCTATCTTTTGTGGGAAACTGTTCTGCCCCAGTTTTCCTTTTTTTTTTTTTTTTTGCATGTGCGTGTGTTGTATGAACAGTGTTTCCCTGTCAGACTTCAAATGTGGCTGTCCTAACTTTGAGGTCACTCTGAATTCCTATTTATGCTCATAAGTCATTACCTATATTTTTGGAATTGCCATGTCAGCATAACTCTGCTGTATCATGTAATTTGTTCTCTTATATTAGGTTATGCTTTCTGTTCTCAAATACGTTCTGACCGTGTGAGAGTCCTTTCTTAGAAATTCTTAGAAAAACAGAAAAAATGAGATTTTTCTCAGTTATTGATTTATCCATGCCCATATTTGGTACGGAAGGATGTCAGAGCAGGTTTTTTTCTTGGAAGTCAGAAATAGGCTGCTGATCCATTCACACCAATGGAATGCAGTCTGTGCTTTCAGATTTTTCCTGCCTTGATTCTTTTTCTGCATTTCCGGAAACAAAGTTACATCTCTTTAGGCCCTCTTACCTTCTGTTTTGCAGTACTGGTGCTGAGAGGTGCATGGTGGGTAACAAGTTTCTCAGCTGGCCAACCTTTGGTGTGATAGTTGTTGATGCTTTATATGATGATGCTTCATCTTGATATAAGAAAGAAATTTTTTACAGTGAGAACATTTCATTCACTGGAACAACCTCCACAGTGTCATGGTAGAGTCCCCATCACTGGAGGTTTTCAAGATGCGATTACACAGGGTGCTAGATAATCTCATCTAGGCTCCCTTTCCCATGAAAGGTTGGATGAGATGATCTTTCGAGGTCCCTTCCAACCTGGGTTGTTCTATGATTCCATGATTCTGTATCCTGCTAGGTGGTGTCAAAGTAATGCTGGAGATCAGTTTTCTGTGATGTTTTTAATATATATATATATATTGCATAGATTGAGACTTGCACATACATACTCATTTGTCTTTTCACAGCTGTAATTGTTTTGCTACTAGCCAAAATCTTTTAGCCAGTTAATTCTTCTAGAGATCTCTGCATAGAGGTTGTAGCTCAGATCTCATTTAGAACTCTTCTTCTGAGAAAAACACTGTTTTCCTAAGTACTGGATAATAATAAGGACCAGTTTCATGGGAGGGGCTCTCTTGAGGTCTGAAAAATAAGCAGAGTACCTTGCCAAAGACTGAAGCTCAAAAGAAAACAGTAAGAAGCCCCAAGATGTATGAACCCCCAAGGCCACAGCTGCACTCCAGTTGCTGGTTCAGAGTGTTTCACTCACATACACGCATGCATATACACATACGCACACAGAGATGGCTGGCACTCCCCTGGTCCCTGGTCCCGTAGCAGACCCCCTCTGTGCTCTTGTCCCTAGAGATACACAGGTGCTTTCACACCCAGAGCTGGCCAGTGGAGACCCACTCACCTGCCTTGCTCCCAGGTCACTTCATCTAGCTGATGGCTAGTCTGGTTTGGTCTTCACTGGTGCTCACACACTCACTTGGCACACCTGCACTCACCTCAGTTGCTGGCACCGCAGGCAAATAGAACCCTGTGACCCGTGATCCCACTTTTCATTGTGTAGTTAGGACATAACAATCTTTTCCTTCTCTTTTAATGAGAAATGCCAAGGTGACCCTGTGGTGTGAGGCTTCTTGGAGACACTGGAAGAGTGTGCACTGACAGCTCTTGCTTGTGATGGGTCTGTTACTCCTTACATTTTCCCTAGATCAGAGTTTTTTAGGTTAAGGTTGTCTTTGAACCTTCAGTGCATCTTGTCTGCAAGCTTTGAGGCTGATAAATGACCGTCTGTATTGTCAGATGGTTCAGTTCTATTGTCAGTTTTGCAATGCACTAGGGGAGAGTGCTCTGCATGTAAGTTTTACTTTGATACGCATTGGACTAGAAACATTCTCTTCTCTTTGTTGTCTTATTTTCCTAGAAGGGTTCTTATTTGCTGTCTCTGTGCTTTGTTTTGTAGCTTAACAGATTGGAAACGTCTCCTATTTGCTAAGAAATGAAATCTGTCTGACACCTGGTCATTAAACAGAATACATTTTATGCTTTTGTTTTTATTTCCAGATTGTTTTCAGATTTCTAGGCCAACTTGTCTTCTACTTGGTAATGTTAAGATGTTCGCTTTTGTCATTGTTTTTCAGCATGGAGGCTTTCCTGTGAAAATAAAAAGATTTAAAATATCTATGGTATTTTTCCACAGTGTTGTCTAAATTCATACATTTGTTTTTTTCTGAAAGAGGTAACTGTGGACATGTTAGTTGTAGCTGCCGCCAATGCATATTATACAAGCAATCCATATTTAATTTGGGAATTTTATTGTTTGTGGATATTAAATAGTCTTTCACATTTTTAAAACTATCATTTCGTATTAAGTTAGCCATTTGATACTCTTGTAAAGCATCTGTTTTGGAGTTCTACTTGGTCTTGGTCTACCTTGTAGAAATAGCTCATTTAGAATCTTGTTGAATTAATTTAACAAAGAAGGCAGAATAAATGCTGTCTGCTGATGATCCTTTTGCATTCCTTAATATGGCAGGCTGGCTGTTCAAGAACCTGCCCTAATTTTTAACTTTTCCTGTATAGTTTAATCTGTTCCTGATATTTTAGCTTAGTTAGAGGACTTAAATTGTATTTACTTTTTATTTTATTGTTTCTTCTTAGCCTTGGTCACTCTGTGATTTTCCACTAGTTGGTGGAAGAATGATTGGCAAAAATGAATGTAGATGAGGACAGCTTTTGTCCTAGATGTACTACAGGTGGTTGTGGCTCCCTCCTTTCTTTTATTTTGCTTATTTTTCTTGATATCATTACAAAAATACTCTGTAAGCATATAATCTGATTTATATCTTACTAAGTTTGGACTGTGAGGGAAAATTGGTATAAAAGTCTACTGCATTAGCAAAAATGAGCGTGGATAACTTGGTGGTTGGTGAAGTAGCAGAAAGACTATGAAAAAGCAAACATGCAGATAAGGTCAAATTGGTTTTCACTTTTTATTGCCAGCAACGCACGTACAAAATTGGTGCCAAAATACTGTCGATGTTTAATCGTAAACTTGCGGTATTTTTCAATTGCATCACAAGCTTTTCAGAATTAGAATACCCTATAAAACAGTAAATATCCTTTAAAAGAGCAAAACCAATTACCATCACTCTTTGGATCACCTGGTTTCCATCATGATTTCTGCATTTACGAATGTATTTTACATTCTGTTTTCACGGAACTGTTCAGGACAGTTCTTGGTTTTTACAACTGATTAATTTTTGTTTGACTGAAGCGTGAGTGGTATAATGGTACTTTAGACCACACTGCAGATTTGTAGAGTAGGCCAAGCACAACCTGATACAGCCTTAGCAAACTGTCATCATGCATAGTATGAGAGCAGAACCTGATCTTCTGTGATTTCTTTACCAGTGAAAACAGTAGGTGTGAAGACATTGTTTATGTTATAATACCAATTTGAAAATTAGTGGACTGATTTAAAGAGGCAAATATTTTTTTGGTGTACAAATTTTTAATTTTCTTAGACATCTTCTATGTAACATATTGACTTGAGGAAAATCAGTGCCGATAAAACCTTTAGCTACTGATGTCTTTCTGCTCAGTTTTTTCAGCTTTGTTATTAAGGTACAGAGCATTTATATGAGAGTATGGCACATTCTTAAAAAGCCAAAACTTTTGTTTCCCTGTTTTTTCTGATGTTCTTTGAACCACATACCATTTCATGTATGAGAACTCCATGCTGTTGCCCTTCAGATAAACAATTATTGTGGTTTATTAAAAAAATCAACAACATTAAAGACCACACACAGCAATAGATACCTGTACTTCTGTACAGTGTTTAAAATTAAAGACATAAAAAATCAATCCAGTATATTACAGAATTTATGCCACTGCATCTGCAAAATGCACATTTGTGTGGGTTCAGTCTATGAGTGCACCAAGAGAAGGTCCATATTCCAAAGGATGCTTTGGAACTCAGGTGCCAAAGATAGGCTTTGCAGCCATTTTTTTACATCTCTGATTTTGTAACCCTTCTTCCCCCTCTTCCCTCCCCATCTTTTAACATGGAAGTTCAATGTCTTCTGTGCTTTGCTTACAGAGCAGCAATTTTATCATGCTGTCATCCCGTGTTCATGAATTTTAAATGAAAATACAAGATAGCCCTTTTTGGAGAAGTTGTATGGCTCTGAGTTTTATCCCCTCTTTCTACTTGTTAGTGAAAATTGGTTTTCCCAGGCTGTTCTCACTCCCTTCAGTCTTCAATCTTTTCACTAGGCTACTTGCCATTTTGAGACGATGAAGCAGATTTTACTGGAAAACAAAAATAGTAGATGGGTTATCTACATATGAAGTTTCTAGGCAATGTGAAGAGAAATACCACTTAGTTGTTGGTGGGGTTTTTTTGTCGTAGTCTTTAGGGTGTAAGAGGTGATCCATTGACATGTGCTAATATGACTTTTCAGTATTCCATTTGTATTCTCAGTTTTTTGTGTGGACAAAATTGCAATGAAGTATCTAGTAAAGTCAGTCTATCCTAATTTCCTATTTGTTCTTCTGCCTGCTATGAAGCCTTTTAGAAAGTTGCTGTTCAGTACTGAACAGCATCTCCTGGAATTTGAATTGCATGTGTAAATTGGAATCCTTCTGGCGAGCAGAGGCAGAGAGATATTTTTAATTAAAAGAGAAAGAAATTAAATTTTACTAACCAGAATTGAATGGATGAACCACACGCAGGACATCAGTCAACTGAAATTAGTCTTTACATTACTGAATACGTTGACTATTCGCAACTTAATTTTGGTTCTTATCTTAACAGTTTGGATTTAGATGGCGACATGAGAAAGAAGTAATTTCAGGAAAAGGTAATGCTGCCTTTCATTTTATATTACATTTCTCCTTGATGCTTTTCTTGCTGTGTTTTGACTTAACTTTGTTAGACAGTATTTGCCAATACTGGTAAATTTATCAGATAATGGACAATAAATTGACCTAACTTCTAACTTGGCTGGTTTATGCCACATAGCTCTAGAGTGCACACTGATCTGCATATATTAAAATTAAGAGAATATATGGTTTATTTTCACAAGGTCAGATTTGTAATGAACACCAACATAATGCATTTGATAATGTTGAATTTCATGGATATGTTTTTTATCTGCTTTTCTCCAGTAGTTCTATGTTACCTCATTAGTCTTTGATACCTTTAATTGAAGTCTCTCAATACTTTTCCTCAGGAAATAATTTTCTTAACAGTTTCTCCAATGCTGTTTTGCAAAACGTTAACTTTTTAATTAAAGTTCCATGTGTGATGTCTGTTTTAGGCTAAATTGGTTTTGAAAGCTTCAGTGGGAATCAGTGGGAATGGTTGTCATGTCTCCTAGTCCTGTTTCTAAATCAGTATTTTATTCTGGCTGCTTCTGTGTGTGAGTTCTTACCAATGTGTTATTGGGACTTTGCACGGTGGTCCCCATTCCGTGGCCTAGCTGCATGGACTTCTTCAGGTAGCTGAACAAACAAGAAAATGATGTGAATGTATTGCTGTTCCTGTGGGTAGATCTTTATACACATGTACAGTTTTCAGAAGTCATGCATGCACACACAAGAAAATTGCATGGAGTGATACTGTTGATCAGAACAATTCTGTAAACAACTCTATTTATTATAATATATTACAAGAAGTTAGAAATACACTTGTTTTTAAAAGAATTTATGTCGTACTTCAGAGGAGGAAGTGTGAACGTTAATGCTGGGATTTTTTTAAGCTATAAAGATTAAAGCTCCTAAAGGTAGTTGTAGTCCTATGTTGCATTCATCACTACAGATTATATTAACAGATAGTTACATTTGATATAGTTATATGCTTTACTGAATGCTTTAAAAAGATAATTAAAATTAAATGAGAAATGAGTAATTTATGAACAATTATGTCTTCATGAGTGAGGAAAAAGAATTTAAAGCTGCATTGTACTTTTAATATCTGGTACTCCATATTTAAAAATGTGGGAGAAACTGCAGAATTACATGTTTTAAACTTTTTAATGAATTCCTAATTGAAAGCATACAGTTGGAACATACGAATTGAGAAATAGTATCTTTCACCACTAAGGGGCGCAAGAATTCAACCCTGTGTATTAGGAGCTCTTTTCAAGTGCAGTTTCAAATGATCACTTAAAAAAAGGCATGAATCTTTAATGCTTTTTTTTCCTATTTTTAAGTATAAATCAGTAGTACAAATTGCTTTATTAAATGTAATAAAGCATTAATACCTACCTGTCTGATAATTCACGTTAAAAAAGGGAGAGCATGTTCTTATTTTAGCTCTGACAACAATAGTGGTGATGAGAACCTCTGCTGGTGGACAGTACTGTGGTTTGGGGTATGTTAAGAAGGGAACATAGGAATGGGTTACTCACATTTGGTTGCTTTTTGATGTCTGTCTTTGTAAGCTTATGGGGAAGAAGAAGGGTTAGGATGAGTGAAAGGAGAGGTGTCACTTGTATTACTAATTGTAAATGCCAGATTATTTCTTTCTCTTTTCTTTCCCACTCCAATCTTTTGCCGTAAGTGTTTTGAGTTTTGCTGTTGTGTCTTGTTAAATTTAAAATGTTACCTTAATGGCCAGTTACCAGTTGCCAGTTTCAATAAATGGTTTCACAAAATGGGCATTTTCTTAATTAAAATCTTAAGTTAAGGTAGAAACCCTACTTTAAATTTTATAAATCAGTGAATAGTAGACATATGAGTTAGTTGGTCTGAAAATAAATCCTTAAAATTAAAAGCTTTTAAGCTATTTTAAAATCATACTTGACATGCCTTCCCAAGTACTTTTTGCTCTACTTTCAAAGCATGAATTGTAAGGTATGGCAGAAAATTTTAAAATTAAAGTTATTTTAGGCAAAAGGCAATAGTGGTAAAAGTTTTCTGTAGGAATATAGGTAACAAGTTTATTGGGTAGAGGTGAAATAGGAGTTTTTCAGCAATATGCAGAAAGACCAAAGCTGAACATGTGGGTCTATTTGCTGTTTTCTACTTATTTGTATTTGTAGATTAAGTAGTAAAATACTCAAACCAGACATGTTATTTGGCAAAATAGGGTTTAATACCTGCAAATTGACCTACTCTCCATTTTTTCACTATTTCATTGAACTAACATTTAACTTTTAGCATAGCAGTGTCTTTCTTAGCCTTTATATATGTATAAATATACATATAATATGCTTTACCTTATTTAAACAACTATTCCTCCAAACCTGTTCCCCTTTATTTTTTCTCAGTAATTTCCTCCATGGAAAATAGGCAGAATATCAATACCTGCATAGTGCACCATGTATCCATGTACCAATCTGGTAGCTCTGAGTTCTGATCAAAATGCATTAAAATCAGTCTTTTGGCTCTCTAGATTTCCTTAGTATATTTGATTTTCAGTAATTCATTTAGTTTGTAGTACTTTTATTTTTCACCTATTCTGTTCTTCTGCAAGAAGCAGAAGATGCTAATAGTTTTTGAAAGCACATATTTAACAGCCAGATTATAGGAGTTATAATTCTGAACATGAAGGCAGTAACTTCCCTGCAGTTCATAGCGAGGTGACAGAACTTCAGATGGAAGTGGAATTTTGCACATACTTTTTTCTTGCTGATTAAATTAGATATATGTATACTCAGCATGCTGGTTTCTGTGTCTTCCTTTCTTGGACATCTAACTGGAGGAAAAGTCATGTTTCAAGTACTGAATAATGTGGTCCATAGTTCCCTTTGATTTGGGTTCTCCATATATACGATGGAGATTCTAATGATCTCTTACTTTGCAAAAATATGGGTTTTAATGCTTTTATGACATTCAGATATACCAGAGTGATAAATACTACTGAAAAAGCCTTCAGAAAGAGTGGATTCTATATTCAAGTCAAGGTTTGAATACATGTTGTAAGGATTGTAGCATGAAAGGAGGGTAAGAGACGCCTGGCTGTTTGTACACATGTATGGCATGGAGCAGGGTGCTACTAAAAAAAAAACAAACCACCATGTTTTCAAATATTTAGATGATCATAAATGCAAGTAAATGTGTAAGGGCACAGAATTATGGTGTTGTACACAGTCAAGTTCTGATTTATGTAAGAATTCATTGCTTGCCTTAGCAATCTGAAGATATTGTTCCAGCTATATTCTTGTGAATATATCCAGTTTCACATCCAAAATGGATTTTGCATACTGTAAAGAGCAGCTAATCATAAATAAAACTGATTATCTCTCTTTTCTCTCTGCCTGTTTTTCTGGTTTGTTTGGGGATTTTTTTCAGAAGATGTGAAATAAACAGAGTGTGCTTGAGTTCCAAAAAGTTTTATATAGTATAACTTTTTCTTTGTAGATTTTTATTTCTTTATAATGGATATAAATTATTCCTGATGACACAGAGTACTGATAGCCATACCTTGCATAGGGTTGAACATATTTAATGTATATTAATTTGAAACTTATTTTTAATGGGAGTCCTGGGGGTTTTTTTGGTTCAAGTGTTAGCATTGCAAGTAGTTTTACATTGCAGAACTGAAGTATCTGAGGACACTGCCAATCCATTAGTTAGCAGCTTAAGCAGAATGTTCTGAGGTTAATCGTTCACCAACAGTCCTGCTTGTGAGCCTATTAATACACATCCTTACTGCCAGCTCTGCATACAAATCAGTCTTCTGCAAAGAGAATATATGTATCTTTATTACTGCAATATTGGGAACCCAGTGGTGTAAACAACATTGACTATGTCAAATTGTTTTAAAATCAGTGTTGTATTTAACATAATTAACCTAAGAAAGCTTTTAAAGCTGCCATATCATATAGTTTATCATAGAATTGGATTTCCTTTTTTTAAAAGAAAAATAAAGTGTTTATGGGAAGTCATAAGAGTACAAATTGTATGTCCAGTATATCAGGTAAACTAGTAAGGTAATAAGAACACGGACATCTTAATTTTGTACATACATGATACTTTGAATAGTTTGATGTCATTAAAGGTTAATGTCTGAATCACACCTCCTGATCCATCAGCCTCTGCTAAGTAATCATTTAAGATACAGAATGTATCCTAGTGACATTCATTTCTTCAGAGTTCAGTATTAGGCTTATTTTTTCTTAACATATGCCTTCATCTATACATTGTAAAGCACAGTTCACGTTATATTCTTTCTTTGCAAATATGCAATATTAGGCAAGTATGATTGTTTGCTGTGTCATTATCTGTTATTGTTTCCTTAATCTAGATGTTACTTAGAGATTTGGGCTTATTTATTTGAAAGAAATGGAAAACAAAAAGCAAAAACTGAGCAAAACTGGACATAACCCCAAACCTATGCTTGATAATCATTGAACCATGGTTTGCTGTTTTTGACCTCTTTAAAGGTCAGTTTTCCTGTGGAAATAAGCACTGTGATGAGAAAGAAGGCCTGAAGAGCTGGGAGGTGAATTTTGGTTACGTTGAACATGGTGAAAAGAGGAATGCGCTTGTGAAATTGAGTAAGTCAGCCATTCAAGGATATGTAAACTTAAAAGAAGACAAATATCTTGTGCTTTAAAAGCTATCGAGTGAGACCCAGTGATAATGATATTAGTTCATGCAAAATGGAAAATGCTGAATAGGAGATAATTTTGTTAAATTAATTACAGGTAGTATGACGGTCTTGATTTAGAGAGAATGGCTATTACCATTACATGTCACGAAGTTGTTACAGGTTGAGCACTTCATGCTCTATAATTGGTGGTGTCATAAAATTAGAATAACTCATTATAATCTGTTTGGTATGCAAGCATGTCAGGTTTTAATGGACAACACTGCATTGCAAGGAAGGTTTCATCATTGTTGTTGCTTAATCAATTATGTGGCTTAGGAGTACTTAGGGCTTTGGACCAGACAACTTCTTGCACACCTTCAGCTCTATAGTTTTACTTTTAATGCTTGTGTTTTCTTCCAAAAATTCTAACTTTAATTAAATCACTTCGTTTTCCAGTCTTGTCTCTTAAGTGGGATTTTCTTATTCAATATGTTCATCAGATAATTAAACTTACCACAGTTTACACAGTTACTTTGTGTAAAACAAGCTAATGGTGTTTTTTTCTTTTGTGCACAAGACACTCCCTGTGGCAGCACATGGTCTCTGGCAAAGCTCTAAGAGGGTCTTCAGTATAATTGTAGAACAATTTGATCTGTCCACAAAGATCCATAAAATGGGATGTCTGTATGTGATAAGCACTGATACTTCTTTATGAAGAGTTGCCAGTGCTAAACCTGTGATTTTTCTCCAGGTTTAGTAAAATTTGGGTTTGTACTGAAGACTTTTATCATGGCATTTTTCTCAACCCTGGCTGCAATTACACTGGCACTTCTGTTTTGAAGGAAAAGCTGCTGAAATTGGAAGATAGTGTTCTACCTAGTTTTATATATGTATTAATAAGTTTTGTAATTATGCTTATCAAATACATGGGTATAATGTTATCATTCTCTCTTTTTCAGGACTATGTCCAGAATGTTCCTACAAACTAAACTTTCATCACCGGTAATGAAATATTTTTAAAATATGGGGGCTGAATTATTGATAGATTACAGTTACGATGAACAACAAATAGAGGGAAAACTTCATCTAGATGATTAGGAACTTCATTTATGCTGAAATAGATTCTGTTCTGGAATTCTTGTAAAGTCAGTGGCTTGACACTGTTGAGAGTTGGGTATTGTGGTGCTAATGAAAGTACAAAAACCCTCAAACCGGAAAAGTCCCACCCCCACAAAAGTTTCCTTTGCTTTATTTCAGCCCAGTGATTATTTTTCTTTTCTGAAAGCTTATGCAAAACACTGTCTTTTTTATTTTCCATCTTGCTGTGTTTGAGCAAGAGCTGGAATGCTTTTCCTTTTCTTAAAAATAGTGGGTTTATGTGTTAATCAAGTGAGTGTGCTTTGAAATTTTGAATGAATATTTGTTCTTTGAGAATCACTTATTAATATGAGAGGAAAATAGTGAATTTTGAACCTATAAAATGTATGCATTAAGAGTTGATATGGTTTTTTATTATTATCTATAATCTTAGTGAATTCCACAACTATTGACACTGAGTTTTTATAATTTTCTGAATCTTGATGTGGCATGAACTTAGTTGCACAAAGCAGTAATTAAGCTGGACAATTATCTGAAAAGCATATGAAAGGGAAACTTTAAGCTAGGAAATGATGTTTTCTTTTTTAAAGTAACACAAATCAAAGGTGTGTCTAGATGGACATATCCAAGATAAATAATTAATTTTAAAAGTTAATTCATATTCAGTTTCATTAAAGCACTGTGTAAGCACATATTAAGAAGGAGAATTAACTAACTGAGATTAGTTTGATTTGTCTTGCTTCTTTGTGGAACTAAAATTGTAAAACCACTTGAACTCAGAATAAGTATGGTCAAACATTTTCTCTTTGTCACCTGCAGAGTAATACTTCCTTTGAAACAATTTTAGTGACTTCTTTGCGCAAAGAAGCAGGAAAAAGTCAGCCTGTGTTCATACAATAAGCCTATATAAGTAACGCTGAAAATAAAATACGTGGGTTGTTGGTCTGCAACAGGTCCTTAGGCTTGAGATTCTTCTACCTCAGGTTTTGCTGCTATCAAATACGAAAATACATTTGAAAACCTGTATTAACTGTGTTTTTCTCATTACCTTTATACAGAATTGTTTGCTAAAAGAGAAAAAGAGATTTCAATATAAATAAGAATTTGACATGTTACAAAATTATTTTCTGTATTTAATCTTTGATTGCCAATTCACTGGTTTTGTTCCCTGCATCAGTGTTATTTTAGCAGCTTTAGCTTTTCCTGTCATTTGTCTTTAGCTGTAGAGCTCTAGTGTTTCTATAGCACTTTTCATTTTAACTAAACTAATTTTTTTCAGTTTAACTAGTGATAGGTTTCAGAAAAAATGACAACTGTTTGATTGAATTAAATACTTAAGATTTACTGTTGCTTGAGGAATACATATAATAAAGGTGTACATTCATTTTTTTAAAAGGAGGAAAGAAGTCAAAGCACACAAGAAAAGAGGCACAGCTGTACCGAACTCTAAAGAGCCAAAAATTAAGAAGACAAAATTATCTTGTTCAGCAAAAAAGAAGTCAAAAAAGACCCATAAAGGTAAATTTAAATTTTAGATCTTCAATTTTAAAATATTGAAATATGTTAGTTGAATCTTAGTTTTGCTATAGCTACATATGTATAGATATAGATAAAAAAGATAAATTTCTTTGGTAAAATTTCCTAGGTGCACAAAAAAGATAAATTTGGAGGAAAAAAAAAAAGATAAATTTCTTATATTTTACAGAGAGGGAGAGCCTTTTGAAAAATATGCATTGCAAGGAAAATTTGTCCAAGAATTGGACATTGCATACCAGAAAGGGTTGTGAAGTATTTAATTCCTTGAGGCTATGGGGATGAAAGCCTTTTGGAAATGTTAGATAACCTTTTTACACCACAGATCTCGGGATAACGTATTTGAGCTCAAGCTGATGACCTTTGCACTCATCCAAAAAAAAATCTTTTTTCTTCAGTGTTTGCTTGCTTTCTTTGAATATATGGTGTGTGCGTGCATGTGCACATGTTCATGGGTAATATATTGTGATAGAAGTACCCTTGTAAACAATTTAAGATAATGGATAAAACCAAGATAAGCTTACTATTTTTTAAACGGTGTTTCTTTCCAGATCAGGTTTCTTCAGAAGATTCAGAAAATTCTGATAAAGGTAAAGTATTTATATCTTCTGTATTGTATGTTTTTGTAATAAGTCGCATTATTTCATAGTAATTTGTCATTGGTCTTAGTTTTATTTGCTGGTAGTTTTAATATTTTATAAGATTATAAGAATGCTGTGTGAAAACAAGCAGAGATATGGAAGGTTAAAATGATTACTTACAAATTCTTAGAGAAAAACTGTAAGGAATTTTAAGAAGGAAATCTTTTAAGTTTAAGTAAGGAATAAAAATGTGGACAGATAACAGAATGGAAATAATCAGGAAACGAGAGGTCAGGTTGTTCCAGAAAATAGTAAATGGTGCAAAAATGGGTACATTGTGAATAATTGCATGGGTCCAGGTATGCAAATATATGCTGTGTAATGTGTGCTGTGTAAAGAAAGTACTTTTCTGATAGAATAACTACTACATTTCCCTTCGGGGAATGATACTAATATGTACACTACTCAATTAATAGAATTTAAATAAATCCTAGGCTTTAATTAAAGTCTTTTCCAGCTACCACCTGTACTACCTTAGAGACCTATTTGTTGCGGGGTGGATGCACTTAGAGTCTTAGTGACTCTTTAGGCAGTAGTTGTCTCTGTATCTCAGTAATTCCAGTCCCCAGTTTCTTTTTTGGTGAAACAAGCCCCATCTCCTGGTCATGCCAATTCTTGCTGCAGACTGTCTAGAAGGGATTGAGTGTTTCTGCTGATTGCTCTGCTGTGCTATACGTTTTTAGGAATGTCCTCAGCACCTACATTTTCCCAGCTAGGTACAGGAAGACCTGAAGTGGTTTACTTATGACTCGACCATGCCCAGAGTCTCTGTTTTGTCAGGAAAGCTCTATTGGAAGGCTGGGAGTTTTTTAGGTCAGGGCATATTTCTGATAGTGAGATTTTTTTGTTTGTTTTCACTCCTTCTGTATACTTACATGAAACAGTTATGCAGTAATCCATGTTTTCTGACACTTTCACTGATAAGTCACAATTGATAAAAGTTGTCATTCAAGTAGAAGTAAAGTAATTGATTCATTTAATATCATGAGTTCAAGCTGTATTGTAATTCTGGGTTTGTGATTATAAGCCCTTAATTTTAGGAACAAAGTGCTACGCTGCTGTTGTGTCAAGATCAGTGTTTTGATATGATTGTTGTTATGTTTGGCCAAAATATTAGTTCATGATATCTAAGAGCCTTTTTGATGCTGTGTTCAATAACATTGGAAAATGTTTTCATTTTCACTTTATGCAAAGTAAAGTGTTCTTTTTATTCTTATGGTTACAATTAAACATTGGTCCTGGCAATATACCATCTAAATAAAAAAAATTATAAATTCTTTTAAAATTTATTTCATAAGCACTTTAAATTTTTTAATAGATTCAGATAACAGCGATGCACAAGATGGTCCTTCAGATGCTGACTTTTGGAAGGGTCCTCTACAAGAAGCAGATGAAAAATCACGGTTAGTTTGATCTAGTGAACTTGTAGTTAGTAAAACATACAGTTGTCCATTCAGAACTGCAAAGGCAGAAATTTTTCCTATGTGTTTTAATGAATATTCTGACATTTAAAATTATGTCAAATCTCCTTCCATGTAGTGAACCTAAGAATGTGTTTTGAAAGAGGAGACATACACAACACTGTAGGAGAACCTTTGTCAAACCACTACCATACTACTGCTGGTTTACCCCCTATTATGCCGTTAATTGTCTTAGAAATAAATCCTAACAGTCAACTCACTGCTGTTGCACAGATACGAAATGTGAAGGATATTGTAGTGAATAAGTCAAAATTATCTATACCGGCTACAAATTCTAATCAAAAGTCTGCTAAATCTTTTTCATACAAACGTTATCTTCTAGGTACAGATCCAAAGCAGAACTTTCTTTGACTTTTTTTTTTTTTTTTCTTTACAGGGAGGAGGAGTTTGATGAGTATTTTCAAGACTTGTTTCTCTGAAACTTGAAATTCATGTAGGCTGATTTTCATCATGAATTGTCAAGATGAAAGTCTGGAAATCCACTCATAATTAGGGACCAGAGACCTTCTTCTGCCAGCATGCCTTTTCTACAGTCACTCATATGCACCATTTGGGTAGATTGTCTTTGTAGAAGGCCTCAGGTCTAAAAACTTTCTTTTTCTTGTGGTAGGCTGTTTACTCATGAAATAAGAGAAATAATTTTTTCAGTTCAGTGCAAAAGGTATATGGCACCCAAACTTAAAAGCAGGAAAGATGTAAACAAACAAGAATATAGTTTATTGACATTACATCACAGAAGTTATCCCAAACTTCAGTTATTGCCAGATTTTTGTAAAGGTGCATTTTGGAAGATTCTGTTACTAGTTTAAAGCCATACACTTTAATATATTCATTTTTCTAATTTATTAAACAAGAGTTGAATAGCTTTAAACTTATTATTCATGTAGACTTTAATATTCAGGTATTGGTCTCTGCAAGTATTTTCAAATGCTATTGGAGAAGTTCAATTTTTATCAAATATGTATTTTGCTTGAATTAGGCAAATTATATCTGAAATGTTTTCCCTGCTCTTATCAAAAAGTTTAGTTTGTTGTAACTTTTTTTAAATTTTAGTTATAATATGATGTGACCGATAATTCCACTTACAAAAATCTAGTTGGTTGGTGAAATTTTTGTTGTAAAAAATAAAGTGTGTGGCTTTCTACTGGAGATGTACATGTGACTTTTCTGTTATCTATGGTTTCTGATCTCCTTAACATTGATTGAATGTTAATCCTTCTTTAAAGTGTAATCCTAAATATACAAGTAAAGAATGTATATTGCTTGAGAAACTTACTAGATTCATCTTCCTCTTCAAGTTGCAACACAACTTTAAACATTCTTTAGTTTATGTTTCCAAAGAAACAGTCTGCATATGAATAGTTATGGTGGCTATTTTCTTTGTTAGATGAAAATTACTTTGGATATAAAGGACAAACTTTTTTTGAATTAAATGTTCATGGTAATCTATGGAAAGTTAATGTTGTATAAAATATATTTTTGATAAGTAGATATATTCATAGACAGTATTTATAATAAGTATTTGATGTGGAAAATGTAACAGCAGAGATGGTTGCAGTGTATTTATGAACATTTTACATGCACTCATGAATAAGTTAAGAACTCTATTTACAAGTATTGCTTAACATAATTACATTTTAAACAGTTTGTACTTACATAATAGATGACAGTACAAGGGCATATTTAGGGTGTCCTTGAGTAAGAAATAAATGTAGCCTTGCATGAAGGCTTCTTTAGGTAAGAAGGTGGATTTAAAGGTTAATTCTCTGTCATCTTGCAAGCTTGGTTGAGAGTCAAATCCAATCTGCAGCAATCTGCTTACATGTATGCAACTTGCCCAAAGGGGCTTTTGTCAAACATGTTGCTATATTTGTTCCTTCAGGTATTGTATATTAAGTATGTGTTCTGGGTAACTAACTACTCTTTGGGTCTTTACAATACAGTTATAAAAAGGTACAGTGTACATATTAAATACATCATTTAACACAGTTTGAATAAAATTATATGATCAAACACCCTTGAAATAGCTTGCTTTACCATCTGCATTTAATACAGAAAATAATATGTGATACCCAGTTTTATGTCATAACTAAGTTTGCATAAAATATTCGGCCCATTTATAGATAAGGATGTAGTAAGTGGGATTTTTTTTGTGGATTCCTTTAATTTTGGGTGATAGTTGTACTCAGTATCTATATTCATAGAGCGTTCTTAGAAAGGTATATAATATGGCAAATCGTTCAGTCATTCTCCCTTCTCTGTGGTTGCTGAGGGCCCTTCAGTGAAAAAAAATAAAGTATGGGTCTGCTTTCTTTAAAGGGAGAAGTGGCAGGATGGCAGGATTGAGTCTGCATGTCAGACTTCTTTGTTGCAGGAATTGCATTTGACATCCATCTCCTCTTAGATTTGGAACTAGTTCCAGTAAATACTCGAATCCGTGCATAATATACTAGCCATTTTCCTTCCTTCATCTGCAGGAGGAGCTGGCTTTGTGAGACCTGAGTAGAAGGTGTGGAGTGGACTCTGTTGTTCTTCAAGAACAGAAGGGTTTGGTAGGGAGATCATTGTTTATGAAGAGCTAATTTGTGTGCAGTCTGTCGTCTTGGTTGTAGAAAGGGAGATAATGTGAATTCTGATGTGCTCTACTTCTGCTGTCCTCTCCCTCCCAAGATTAAATCAGTGCCAGTTCATTGGTTTTCAAATACTTAAATTTACTGCATTTTAAAAAAAAGTGCATTGGGACTACATGAGCCTTTTAAAATGCCTTTGAATATAGATCCTGCTGTAGATATAGTGGTATAGGTATCTTACTGAACTCTTACTTGTATGCCAAGTATGATGTTTACAGTCTGCTTTTTTAGATTTTTACAATAAAAGGCGGTCAGTTCAGGAACCGTGGGCAGAGCCATTTGCACATGGGCAAAAGAGTGGTTTCTCTGAGCTGTGGCTACAATTTACAGATTTATCCTTCATAGTTTTGAAAAAATACTGTGTACCATGGACCTGCTTTTAATAGATATGAGCCAGGGAATTGTGTTGGGCATTCCTAAAGTGACAGAGATGTTTACTCTAGAACTTTATATAGTATTGAGAATGAAGGAGAAGGACAGTTCCAGATTAAGGAAATACACATAATATAAAAATCTAAATATACAAGTTACAAAAATTGCAATTTTTTGTTTGAATTGTACATGTTAGATTTAATTCAGTAATTTCATATAAGACCTGTCAAAATTATTTATATTTTTTCTGGACAGTGTGCAGAAGTTACATATTTTAATAAAAATACTGTGTATAAATTGAGTGACATGAAAAAATATCTAGAGTGCACAGTTAACTCATTTTGCACCATTATTTTTTCTTTTAATTTTCCAGGTTTTAATTGTAACTGTTTACTCCATTAAAAATTATTTCCAACAAATGGCAAATGTTTAAGAGAATTGTTAAGAGATCGATCTATACTATTCTATGCGAAGCAGAAATCCACTGGGACTCATTAAAGTTCTTTCTAGATGTCTTTTCTGTAGCAGAAACAGTGTCTGAGACAAAGAATTACAAAATTATACATGTTTTGGATTTTCCATCCTCTCCACTTCCGCCACCACCTCCAGCTGCATTTTCAGCTAAAAAAACAGAGAAGGAAAGTAAAATGAGTATTTTCTGTTACTTTTAGCTGCTCTAATTTCTTGTTAAAAAGGTGTCACTTTTGTGATATGCATATTATGTGTGTTTGACCTTCTGAAAATTGAACGTGCTTTCACTACTTGTCTGGGAAAATGGAATAAGAAACAGTAACATATGCCATAAATACGTATGTCTATATAGTGTAGCAGTTGATACCAACATTTCTCAAAGGACCAAACACACACTGAACCACTCTTACTGGAAAGTTTCAGTAGTTAAATATATAACTCTGTCCCACACATACAAAACTGAGGTATGCAAGCCATGCAAAAGAAATAAACTCTTAGATCAATATAAACTGTGGATCTATTTTTGAAGCAGATGATACAAAAACTTTAATTTGACCTAATTGTATAAGCCTTTATCCAACCCTGCATGAATCCCTTTGTAATTACCAATTAAGAGAGAGAGACACTTTTTATGTTTGTTATCTATAGCTACTGATTCTGTTACTGTCTCTCTCAAATGATTCCACAGATGTTCATTGGTCCTAGTTAAGATTCTTTCAATGTAATAAATTGCGTTTCCAGGTTCATTTAAGGTAAGATACCAATATTAGAATTAAAACTTACATTTGAAAGCTGTGGATCACCATGTTACTAGGTCATTTTCGACCCTTTCCACCTGCATTGAAACATGTCACATAATCAGTGTCCTACCCTCTGTAATTTGTGGATATAATCAACACTATGTTACTAACTATGTATTTTATTTTCTTAGTTTAATGCTGTGTTCTGTTTTAGTTTCTGTTCTGAACTTTCCACTGTAGTGGTTCAGCAAATATGTTTATTTTGTTTTCTGTCTACTGAATGGCTAAGAATAGCCAGGTCAGTGTGATCTAGAGAAACCACCGTGGTTCAGCATGTATCAAATTATTGTTTGTATGAACTGACTTAACAAACCCACATATTTACATGGCCTTGATTTTACAGTGTCAGATTTTTTCTTCACAAATGTGCATGGCCTCAGTCCAGTGCACATTTAAAAAGATGCAAAATAATTCACTTACATTTTGTGATACCAGTTATGATATGCAAAGGGCAGATCCTTAGCTCCTGCAAATCAGTCTGTCCATGCTTGCCTGTGTAAGGTTCCTTGTGGGAAAATACTTCTTTCCTTAAGTCAATGACTAAGTGATTCCAAAATACCAATGATGTAAGATGGTCCTAACTTCAAGTGGGAGTAGAAATACCTGAATCTTCCTAAACGTATAATTTAATTTTTATTTAAGAATCTTATCCTTAAGGGTATAGGATCAGACTTCAGTAACTGTACTTTTTCCCAAGAAAGCAAATTGTTTGTGGAGGTTTGTATGTAGGTCCCAGGTTGTTTTGGTTTGTTTTGCTGGTATTTCTGTGAAGTTCAGATGCTTACATTCCAGTGTAAGGAAAGAGTACTTTGTTCATGCTCACAACCAGCTAGTTCTCAGCAACAAATTAGTCTTAAATAAATAAGATTATATGATTAATTGCAAAAAAGTGTCTTTAAAAGCAAATTTGGGAGACAATGGGGTGGGCATAATTTCTGTGAAAGTGTGTGTAAGTGGTATCACAGGGTGAGCAGGCCAAAATATTTCTTGCAATTTTATTACAATAATAGTATTTGACTCATTTTATTAAACTTCTGTTTCAGAAATATGCTTTGATTAAATCATGTAACTTACAGTACTTTTTTAACCACTTTGCAACAACTTTTTTTTAGCCTAGTATCGTTTATTTTAGGAGCCAATAACTCTCTAGTTCCACTTCACACTCTGACAGTAACTTGATGAGTGGCCTTGAGTAGCCTCTCTTTTGTGTGAAATGTGAAGATACTCACCTATTTCCCACAGAGACTGATTAACAAATAAATTATTCAGTGCTGTTTTATGTTCTAAAGATGTGAAACACACACTTAGAGTAACTAACTTCTTCAAACTAGCTGACAATCAATCATTCTGTAGTAGTCACACGGTTTTGTTTTAATCTATGAACCTTTTCAGTCATCTCAGCTGAATGGCAGGTCTGTTGACCTGTTGTTCCACATGCAATACAGAATAAAAATAACTGACTCACTTCACTCTTACACTTGAGTGATAGGTTCTCAGTTTCTGTAAAATCAGATTCTCTTCTAGGTTATCATATGCAATTTTAGGACTTGGGCTGTCTTAGGAAGATTAGTGTTAAATTTGTAATATGAGTGTATTTCAGCCAAGAAACTGATGGTAAGGAACTAGAACCAACAGTTTTATCTTAAACTTGGAAGAGAAGTGGGGATTTGTACTGCTTTTTTATGTTCCAGATGCACACTATCCATTCCCCTACCTTTT